GGACTCATACATATATAAACATATGTGGATAGTTTGGGATTTGACATATGTATGTATATGGGTGGTGTTCTGTCTATACATACGCATTTGTATGTTGAAATTCAAAGATTGAAATTTTCGCTTCCAATCTTTGAATTTCAACATACAAAGTTTGTCTGTCGATCGGAAAAGCGTGAAACCCAGGGTCAAAAAACTCACATCAATTCAACTATATATATATATATATATATATATATATATATATATATATATATATATATATATGATGTTTAAAATATAATGTTCCTCTATATGCAGAATGGTCTGAAGAGGTTGGCAATCCTGGCTCTCCATATCTCCCTGTCCTTTGTAACAAACTCTCAATAGATTTTGTCTTTTCGCTATCTCTGCCAAACTCTGCTCCATGCACTCAAGCTCACAATGTGTGTCATATTTTCCTTTTGCCTTCGATCTTTACTGTGAATATCAAATTTTCCAAGCCTGCTTTGCTCATTGTGTGCTTGAGAAAGTAATGCCGAAAGTAATATTAATTGTTCAGTAAATGAATGCCTGTCCTGAAGCGTCTAATCACTTAAAAACCATTACGGTTTTGTTACGCTAAAACGCGAAAATCCAGGCCAAAAAGAAATAAAAAGATATACAAAATAAATAAAACAAAAATGAAATCTTCTTCTTCTTCTTCTTCTTCTTCTTCTTCTTCTTCTTCTTCTTCTTCTTCTCCTCATTGATCACCGCAATTTTCTGTCATTACAATGTTGTCTTTATCTCTTCTAAACACTATTTCATTATCAATTACACACGTTATCACGCCTGGTAACATATGCGTTCTTCTCCTGTGTCTTTCTCACCTTCGATCTGTCACGTGAGTATCAAATTTCCCAAGAACTATTTCCTCATTATGTACCCTAGAGATTTGATAATGACAAAGTCTGCAGAGCTTAAATATAAGATATAATAAAATACTATGAATAGACGTCCTGGGTATGACGATAAACTACATCCGCGTACGCGGTAAGAAGACAGACTACGTCCAACAGCAAGGCTTCTGTCCAGGAGGTTTGAGAAGCGTGGAACCACCTCTTAATTGCTAATATTCCCAGATCCACCCTGACCCGAAATGGTAGCACAATTTAGGGTCCCAGCTATGGGCAAACAGTTAACCCCCAAACTGCTGTCAAAACACTATGAAATTGTAAAAATAGGTTTTAATATCAGAAACACTAATTACCAGCAGTAAGTTTTTTGGGAAAAAAATATTACCAACAATATATTTTTGAAGAAAAACTATTACCAGAAATGGATTTGTTTTAATAAAATATATTACCAGAAATACATTAATAAAAAAAAAACATCACCAGCAATAAAAATTTTGTCGGCATTAAATAACCCATTGAGATTGATTTGCCGTAATGTAAACAAAACCTAAAACTTAACTATGAATAGATTATTATTTGCTGATTACCAAATGTCTTTCTTAAGACATTCAACACCAATATTTAGCAACAACGACCTTTCACAACACCCATCTCACATTTGGAATCAGTAGTCTCAATTGATGAAACAGATTTTGGTTATCATCTTAACATTATTGTATTAATAAGATTATATATATATATATATATATATATATATATATATATATATATATAGTGAGCGAGAAGAAGTGTTTGAAATGTGTGTGCTCTGCTTAGAGGAACCAATTGATGGGTAATTCGGGTAAAGCGAAGTTTCATATGCAGAATTTTCTTTCATGTCTATAAGCACAGTGTCATATGAACTCGTCAATATGGCCACAAGAAAGACGTGGTCAACTTCAGATAATTCTTTGATATATTGTTATAATCTAAATCACATATTAAGAAAGAGTAGTATGGTTTAGAATAAAATCAGAAAGAAAGAAAGAAAGAATGGTAATTGTAATATTAGCAGTTTCCTTAAATGAAAGAAAGAAAGAAAGAAAGAAAGAAAGAAAGAAAGAAAGAAAGAAAGAATACATGGTAATGTTAATCTTAGTCGTTCGCTTAAAAGAAAGAAATAATGGTAATAGTAATATTAGCTGTTTCTTTAAATGAAAGAAAGAAAGAAGGCATGGTAATGCTAATATTATACGTTCCCTTAAACGGAAGAAAGAAAGAAAGAAAGAAGGAAAGAAAGAAAGAAAAAATGGTAATGGTCATATTAGCCGTTTCCTTAAACGAAAGAAAGTGGGAAAGAAAGAATGAATGGTAGTTGTAATATCAGCCGTTTCTTTGTAAGAAAGAAAGAAAAAAAAGAAAGCGAAAGAGATTGAGATAGAAAAAATGGTAATGATAATGATAATATTAATCGTTTCCGTATAAGAAAAAGAAAGATTGAAAAACTGAGCGAGAAAGAGAGAGAATGATAGAATGGTAATATCAAGCATTTCTTTATAAGAAAGACACGAAGAAAGAAAGAAAGAAAGAAAGAAAGAAGCGACAGATAGAAAGAGAGAAATAATTGTAACTAAAACATCAGCCATTTCTGTATAAGAAAGGAAAATAAATGAAAGAAAAACAGAAAGCGAAAGTGAGTGACAGAGAAATAAATAAAGAAAGAATGGTAATGGTAATATTAACTGCTTCCTTATAAGAAAAAGAAAGAAAACATGAAACCGAGAGAAAAAGAAAGAAAGAAAGAGAGAGAGAGAGAGAAAGATCAAGAAATAATAGTAATGGTGATATCAGCCGTTTCCTTATAAGAAAGCAAGAAATATATAATACAAAAATCAGTAAATATATAAAAATGAAAGTGATAGATCGATCAATAGATAGATAGATTGATAGATATTAGCTTGACGTGTACATAAATTGTGATTCGATAATTGTTCGTGACTAGGCGTAAAATTTAAGTCATGTCTATTGATCGTTAAAGATCATTGAAAAGAAATGCCGGACTTTGAGATCATTGACATCGTTTAATACTGATTATATAGTTGTGTGCGAAGTGTTGGTTGCAGAATCAGAGTTGATGTTGGTAGTTTTAAAGACACACTTCTCATCAGAATTGAATTCATACAAATAATTTTTTTCAGTGCAGAATTTTGTAGGCGTTTAAGGATATATTGTACAATTCTGAACAATATTTTCCGAACTGTTTGGCGGAAAGTGAATTGGGTTACATGGCTTCGTAAATAGTAAGATGATGAATCCAGGAATTCTGCGAGATACTTTAACAAATATGAACGAAGATAGATATTGTTTAATCAGTTGATTTAAGTTTGAAATAAATAAATTTAAGTCCATGAATTGATATAGGCAGAGAAAGCTTTACCTGTAGCTAATAGCGACATATTAAGAAGATCGGGTGAGAAAAAAAAAGTTTAACGATAATTGAAGCACGCCTAATAAAACTCCACAAACAAAACATTAACATTCTTTTCTCAAAGGCAGCCAGGGCAACTTTGCTGAATTTTTGATCCCCTCAAAAAAATAATAAATAAATATAAAATGAATTACTATTAAGTTGTTACAAATAAAATGATGCACTTTATAGAACATGAATAAAATGCTTCTGAAATGTTAAATAATTAATTGATTAGGTTCTCACACATGAAATGACGCACGTTATAGGAAATGAAAAAAATACTTCTGATATGTTAAATAATTCATTTATTAGGGTGTCACACATGAAATGACGCACTTTATAGGAAATGAGTAAAATGCTTCTGAAATATTAATTAATTTATTAGGTTGTCAAACAGGTAATGACGCACTTTACATGAAATGAATAAAATGCTTCTGAAATGTTAAATAATTAATTTATTAGGTTGTCACGCATGAAATGACGCACTTTATAGAAAATGAATAAAATGCTTTTGAAAAATTAAATAATTTATTAGTTTGTCAAACTTTTTAGAAAATGAATAAAACGCTTCTGTAATGTGAAATAATTAATTTATTTAGTTGAAATTCGCACCATGTTGATGAATGACTGTTCTCCAACCTACCACTAAATTCTTGACCCCATCTTTAAAAAAACATTATCATCCTTTGATGTGATAAGCAGTTCAAATGCTTCGATTATCTCTACCTTATTGGAGAATGTTTTATTGCGTATTAAAAGCTCAAAGATGCTTAAATAGTTGAAAATCTGTATGAGAGATATCAGGTGAATATATAGGACGAAGGAAAATTTCATAATTCAGGCTCTGCAGCTTTCAGACAGTTGACTGAGTAGAGTGCTGCCGTGTGTTGTCCTGCATCAAAACTGGGCCATTCCTATTTACAAGTCTAGGTTTGGGATGTTGTTTTAATGATTCTAACCCCTGGCCTTCACTCCTACTGTTGTCAAAGAGTATCCATTTCTCATCGCATGATTCGATGCATAATGGTTCTTCTTCTCAGTTTGTACTTAGGCAGTAAGATTACTCGACATTGTTTCATGGTAATTTTTTTTAATTAGGCTTATGAGTAACAATATATTGAAAGAAAAATTATCTGAGAAGAAAAGCTGTCAGGAGTAAGTCATGATTGTTTTATACACTAAAGAGGTCACATCGTTAGACCAGTGGATCAGCAACTTAACAAAAATAAAATTGCGTCATTTTATGTATGACAACCTAATACAACTCCCACACAACACAATATAGGGCAGAAAACAAAATATACTAACAACGAAAATTAAACCCGCTTTGAAAATTGCTAGAGGATTAGCCGAAAGCGCTTGGGACAATGACCATGGCGAAAAGTTACTGCACAGATTTAGTGCTCATAAAAGAAAGTAGACAAGCGAAACAATACAAAGTAATCATAGATAGATAAATAGATAGATAGATAGATACAGAGAGAAAGACAGACAGACAAACAGACAGACAAATAGTGAGATAATTCTAATGTCAGTGGTAATATTAGTCGTTTCTATGGGGGAAAACTTTCGCCATTCATTGACTGAGAAACCAGCATTGCTGACGCTTGAAAATTTATCAATCATTTCAGTTAAAACAATTTTAGGACAGAAGTAAATATTTGTATTATCTGCATAAATGTCTAGTTGGGAACTGATGACAACGGGAAGGTCGTTAATGATGATCAGAAATAGCATCGGTTCAAGGATTGAGCTCTTGACACCCCCCCACCACGATTAGTATGAAATGATCTACAAGCGTGTACGCTGAACTCAATCTTAATAACACGATTTGTTATGAACGACAGGATTAAGCCAAATATTCGCCCATTGACACTGTAGCACGTAAGCTTGCAATGAAGGCCAACAGGCCAAACCCGTTTGAGATATCTAAAGATTGCTAGACAAATTCAGTGACGGCCGTTAACACATCCGCGGCAGACGTGACAAAACGGAAGCCATATTGTATGTCCGAAAGGAGGTCGTGCGAAGTAAGGTGCTTACCCAATTCGACATTGATTAGAGACTCGTATAATTTGCCCAATAAGGATAAGAGATACTAATGCGAAAATCAGAGGGATTAGAGAGTTAACAGGAGTCTTTAAAAAGAAGAAATACAGAAGAGGATTCCAACTTGCTGAAAAGCAAGGAACAGAAGATAACTCATGGGCATATTTTTGGACGACTGTAAAAATTCCGACAAATATGCATGTCTTGTTGGTATTTAGTTTAGAAATTAGAGCAGAAACTAAAGAGAGTGCTAAGCGCATAAAAACAGTAGGAGCTCCATTTTAGGGTAAAATTTGACCAGGGATACTCCAGATAAGTCGAGATGAGTTGGAAGAGAATTTACAAGCCAAGCACTTTGCTTTATCTGCAGTAGACATCAATAATCTAAATCGATAAGAGGGACTAGGTATTTGTTATTTTTCAGCACACTCTTACAGAGCCGCCAGTAATCTCCAGAATTTGTGAGTGGCTATAAATTATCCCATTCTATCGGTAAATAGTGACTTTGCTTCGTTGAATACACTCATCCACTCATTAAGATCAATGGTCGGTTTGGTATAAGCAGAGAAAGTGATTACTGTGGACTATAGCTATTGACCAGAGAGGAGTGAACGAAGCATTATTGTGATTTTCACTTCATATGTTCTTGCTGGCACGAAAACTTCGATACCGGCTTTAACTCAAGAGTAGATACACTTCTCAACAGGATGATTCCAAGGGTCATTTTCGAAGAAAATCACAAAACATTTAGTGTATTGATAACAAAAAGATTTTCTGTTAATAATGAGGTTATTGATTGATAGGAGAAAAGAGACACTAACGTGTCGTGGGAGTTGCCAAGAGGACAGACTTGCCGAGCACGGCATGAGTCCGAGGAGGAGGCAGGAAGAGATCAACCAGAGAAGCGAGTCTATAAGAATTAACAGGGAAACACATGACGAATCTATTGTTTGGGTGATTGCTGCCATATCTGGACTAGTGCTGCGCAATCCTCACTCTCCAGCCATGACAGGGAAGAACTTAAAGCGGCCTTGTGAATGATGAATTATTCTCTATCTTGTAAACCTTATACCAAAGACGAAACGTTGCCAGCCATTCGCTATTTTATTGCCATTATTATTGCAGATGTTTGGAATAGTTGAATTTCTTAGAGCTAGCAGTATGGATCTTCAAAGCTAGTCCTGGATGCCTTTACGGTGGGAAACCATCCCAATTCTATTCGTGTTCTTTTGACAGTTCCTCTCAGACAGTTCCTCCTTAGAATTGTTAATTTGTGGAACAAACTCCCAAGAGACCGTTTGTCTGACAACAACAATCTTTGCTTTCTTTAAGTCCACTGTAACTTCTCTTGTTTTCATAATACTCTATTACTTACAACTTCCTTAAAATCTCACTCAATAACTCTACCTTGAGTAGATCTTGAGCCATGTATTGGGTGAAATATCAGTAAAAATACAACAAGAAAAACACAAAAAAAACATGTTATATATCGTTACCTATGAGCACGAGTGGCTATGTCCCAGTGTTCATAAATACGTTGGAAATTATTGTAAGTCGTGGTTATATGCAAGTGAACTCGTTTCAAGCCCATATAGAAACAAATGAAATCAAGATCGACGTATAAACACGTCTGTAGCTGGCTTTTGAGCTTCGGACATGTTTAATCCTCTGTCTGATAATACACTTTCGGTAAAAACGTATATACACGTCTACGACGGGAAAGGTGTCAATAGTTAAATTATTTTAGTTTGGAATTTAATTAAGTATGTTATATACTGTACATATGAACACTAATGGATATGCCCAAATCCTCATAAACACGTTGGACACTGTCGTAAGTGGGGGGTAATATGTTAAGTAGTCCACCACTAGCAGTGGTTTAGCTACTCCACGCCGTTGGCGAGTATTGTATTTTGTCGATGTTATAAAGATTATCATTCCATTTCAAACCTCCGTTTTCGTTATTTCTCATTCAGTAAGCATCTATAGGTTACAACAAAACAACAAGCTGGTTTTCTTGTTGTTGACGTTCTTTCTTTGATTTCTTCTCTCTCTTTATCGTTTTTTTTCTGCTTTGATCTGTAATTTTTTTCTTCTTGAATTCTTCTCTTTGATTTCCCTCTTTAT